CCTCTATGAACAGTGATGCCAAACACAGGTTCCCAAGGCAGTCACCGAGACGTGCTTGTGTGTCACACACTTGACAAGGAACGCTGAATTTCTTTTCTGGCCTACGTGGACTTTGTTTCTCTTCCCTTCTACAGTTGACTTGCATCTTCAGTGAAAGGAGAAAGAATGATTCATCATTAGCTTTGGCCCATGGCCTCATAAATTTTCGTCTCCTTACCTAACTAATCATCATCATTACTAATTACACTCCAGAAAATAAAATGGAATGCAATATAGGCTGGCTTCATGTAGAACAAATCGGGGCATAAATCAGAGAGGCTGCTGTCAGAATGGCTGGAGTGGCTGAGCATGGCAAACAGGAACTATTTTCCCTTTCTGCTTTTGCGCTCAGCCTGTATTATAAGGCCTCGGACATATTTGGATAGAGTTGGAAATTGAGTAGTGTAATCTAATTTTAAGGGAGCTTAACACAAATTAAGGGAACATTACTTGGAACATAAATTCATGGATAAAATTGCACGTTGGTTTTGTTGACAAATGAGGGTGCGCAGGTCTTGGGGTAGGGCCAAGAAGAACTCCTGCATTCTTCCTCCCAAGCTGTTCCAAGTGGCAGCTTTTTGGTAGCCAGGAAGTGCCTCTGGGCAGCACCGTCCTGAGCCCTTTGCTGTGTCCCAGAATGTGGAGTCTCCGCACCCACTTGACCTTCAACCACAACTCCATCATTCCTGCTTGACCGGTGAGGGGGCAGGCTCGGAGAAGTTAAATGACGTGGTCCAGTGTCCCAGCTGGTTAGTGACAGCGCTAGAATTTGAGCCCAAGGTTCTTGGAGGCTCAAGCTTCTCTTTTTCCCACTCTGCTAAGCTGCTTCCCACACTGTTGTATAGAAGGTAGGGTAAATAATCTGGAAGGAAGGTTTATTAATAAATTGGTGTTCCCTATTTTGATACGAATGTCATGAAACACAAAAACTACCATTACATTGAAGGTGGTTGTCTTGGGTATGATTTTTAAGGACAGGTCTCTCCAAATTCATAAAACTGCAGGAATCTGTAATTCTTGGTGCCCTTCTTCACTTTGGTTGTTTCTACCACCCACAGCTCAAAGTGATCGATGGATTCTTCCCATAGTCACATCTCCCTAGAGTCTGTCTTGCTTCTGCCTGATCTCTGTCATTGGGCTTTAACACTGAAGATAGATAAGATCAAGATTCACTAACAAACCCTGTGTTTTGTTTTTTGTGTTTTTTTAAAATAAAAAATAAATGTTTTACCGTGAGTATATAGCGAGAAGAATTCTTCCCTATTCGCTCACACATTGGGGGTTTTTCCTGCTGTCTGCAGGAGCCCCTACTCTTGCCTCACTCTAAGCTCTGCACACTGACTTCCGCTTGCACCGGTGGTAGTGGTCATCCGACTGGACAGCACAGGCCAGACTGTCCAGCTTTGAGCACCTGGGCTTGCCTCCTGTGCTCCTCTTTGCTTGAATTCTCTACTCTGTCCTGCTTTTGTTCTACCTTGATTCTTCCTCTCTCTGTGACTCTCCTGCCCCTTTACTTCATACTCCATTGAACTCCTGATACTCTGCTAACCCCACTCTCAAAAATACCGTGACCTTCTAGTCACCCAACCTCCAGGTCTTTCCTCAGCATTCACTCTCCGTGACCTCAAGGCCAGAACCACTCCGAATGCTTTTGCCTGAGTGCTAGGATACATTGATGGGTCTGTTCCCACTTCTACGCCCATTCTTTCTTTCTGACAGGCTTAAAAACAACTGCTCCTGAAGTGTCTCTCTCCTTTCGATTTTGTCTCTGACGGACTTCTCTTCTCTGTGGGTACCACCTGATCTCTTATGTTCTGGCCTGACCTTTGGCTCCATTATCAGCCCCATGTTTTCAGCTTCTCTTTGACCCGTTGATACCTTCCTGAATAACTTAAGTATCTTCCCAGCACCTCAAGTGGAAGATGGCCTTAATAGAACTTGTATTCTCTTGGTGACCTCTACTTCTCTTCATGACACCATCCTTCTCTTAAGACTATGCCTTTGTCTCCTCTCTGACAAACTTCATTGTAACGCATCGCCTGATCCTGCTTGAATTATCTAAGACTTCTCCTCACAGCTCATCACTTCATCCTAGTCGCCACTATTCATTTCAGCTGTTCATTACCTCTTGTCTAATGTTATAATAGCTTCCCAATAGGTCTTTCCAGTCTTCCCTGAATAAATTGTTGTATCCTTCACCTTTTTGGTGTTTTCCTGTTGCCCCCTCGAAGGTCCCAAATCGAAGGTCCCAAATCTAAGGCCCACTGGGAACTGTCCACGGTCTGCATTCTGTGGCCTATGCCTAACTAAGCTTATTTCTCCCTTCCCTGTGGATCTGCTGTCCTTGGCTGGACCTGGGGAGAGTGCTTGTAGATTCTCTCGGAGAATTTTATTTCTTTTAAAAGGCATCTGTATCAAAGACATCTATCAGTTACTCCACTATTAGGGAAAAAAAAGGTCCTATAACCAGTATCAGAGCTAGAATATAGAAATATTCTGTAATTATTCACCTTCTGTCCTTAGTTCGTGATGATTCCTTAACCTGAAAATAGGATATCCCCTGATTTTTCATATCTAATTCCTACCTATACTCTAGATTTTTCTCTAAGTGTCCCTGACTCCTCTAGCTCCTTTGGGGTATTTTGTATTTACATTACAATTGTTTACTTAGAGCTCCCACCTCAGGGCTGGGACTTTCTTAGGGCAGTGGCAAGGTCTTAGTTATGAGGGACAGCAATAAATACCATAATGCTTGATACATGGTAGATATCCAGTGAGAAATTCAGTGAATAAATGAGTGAAAGGGAAACATATATTCATTTTTTTATTCTTACCTAACTTTAAATTGTTTATGGGTAAAGTCTGATTTATATCCTACAGTATTTAGCATTGAGCTTTGTACATGATAGATTCTCAGCAAATGTTTCTTGGATTAGTGGATAGATAGGTAGTTGATTCTCACATGAACTTTCTGAATGCTACATTACTGTGTTGCACTTTCAATCACTTAATTCAGGTGCTTTTGATACTGCTAAAATATTTAAAAATATGTCAAGCGTTTGATTTCACTTAATTTTTATCCGTGATTATTTTTTGTTTTTAAACTGGTTTGCCTTTTCTATTCTTAATTTTGATTTTAACAAATTGTAGATCATGGGAAGAGTGTGCTCTCTTAATTTCACAAAATAAATTAGAGAAAAGAGGGTTCACTTTTAAGAAAAATGTGAAGGAGCTTTCCTATTTGTTGTTAACTCTCACTTCTGGAGTTCTAGAACTAGCGATGACTTCTGCAATAGTGGTTAAATAGTTCTTTCTGGAGTCATTGTGACTCTATCCAGAGACATAAAATTTGGATGGTTTCAATAGCAAACAGAATTAGACAGTCTTTACAGAAACGCCACTGGAGCACTAGAGGGTGTTCTCAAACTCAGTTTTGAATTTCTCTTCCTTCCCTCCGTACCAGGGTGCTGACACTATTCTTTTTTTTTTTTTTTTCTTTATACTGAGAGATGCTTGCCAGTTTTCTCTGACAACCTTCTACTAGATAATATTTGGTTTTGATTAGTGAACTAATAGTACAGTCGTCCATCTTATCCGTAGAGTATAGGTTCCAGGTCTGCCTCAAATATCAAAATCCACAGGTACTCAAGTCCTGCAGTTGGCCCTCGGTGCTCATGGGCTTCACATTCCGAGAATGCTGTATTATCCATCTGTGATTGGTTGCAGATGCAGAACCTGCTGACACAGAGGGGAGGGCTGACTGTATTTATTTTAAAAATCCATGTTTAGGTAGATCTGAACAGTTCAAACTTGAATTGTTTAAGGGTCAACCATATTTGCTTTTAGTCATGTTAGTTGGTGCAAGCCTAAACAGTAATGAAATGAAAAGAACTGACTGGAAACTCTGAGTGATACTTTTGGGATGATTGTACTTTTGTGACGCCACAGCCTTTTCACTGCTGCTGCTTATTTTGTTGTTGTTGTTTTGGGTTTTTTATTTTGTTCCGCTTTTGTCTCTTTTAAACCAATTGGTAAGAATTACCTCAGTTCAAAAGATTTGCTGGAAAAGGTGAAAGATGCCTTCATGTGTTTCTTCTGCAGTGCCATTTTAATTACCTATGTGGAAGGAAAAACCCTAACCCATATATGTAAAATGAGCAAGTTAGTTACATGAAGTACCTGGGTTTGTGAAGTAGCCTGAATCTGGCAATTAAGGATTACAGGAGAGTAAGTAGAGCCAGGAAACGGTGGTCAGAGGATATAATGAAAGAAATGTACTTCGAGGAAATGCTACAACCTTATTGGAAGCAAGAGTTTCTCTAGTATGTTTTAGAAGGACAACCCAAGGTTTGCTAAAATGTACAAAACAGAAACAACAGGCTCTCTCTGTATGAAATATGGAAACATCATTTGCACCTATTGGAGATATTCATTTCTTTAGACATAGCAAAATAGGCTGGGCATGGTGGCTCACATCTGTAATCCCAGCACTTTGGAAGGCTGAGGCGGGAGGATTGCTTGAACCTAGGAGTTTGAGACCAGCCTAGGCAATAACATGAGACCTTGTGTCTATGATAAAAATTTAAAAAAGAAAAATTAGCCGAGCATGGTGGCACGTGCCTGTAGTCCCATCTACTTGGGAGGCTGAGGCGGAAGGTTCCTTTGAGTCCAGTTGAGACTGGTGAGCTGTGATCGTGCCACTGCACTCCAACCTGGGTGACAGACCCTGATGCAAAACAAAACAAAACAGAAACAAGCAAAGCATGTGCCATGACATGCTATCTGAGACAACCTTCCTCCATACGTTATAGGAATCCTACCCCTATAGTCTCACAGTGGGAAACTTTTATGCTTTTGACCCAGTGCCAAAACGTGTGAGCAGTGACCTAAATTCATTAGATATGTTTGCATCCCAACTTCTTCAAAATCATTAATTTCATTTTATTTATCTCCCTCAGAAATGAACACACCTGTGAACGCTAGATGCTTGTGAGGGCCCCGTCACCTCCAGGCATTGGAAAGACACAGAGTGGTGGCCTCTGAGGACCAGTTCCTTCCTCTTCACCTTGACTTCCGCCTTGCCCTTTCTACTCATAACCCACCATGGAGACGCTGTCCCAGGACTCTCTGCTGGAATGTCAGATCTGTTTCAATTACTACAGCCCCCGGCGAAGGCCTAAGCTGCTGGATTGCAAGCACACCTGCTGTTCCGTGTGCCTCCAGCAGATGAGGACGAGCCAGAAGGACGTGAGGTGCCCCTGGTGCCGTGGCATCACCAAGCTGCCCCCGGGCTTCTCCGTGTCGCAGCTCCCCGACGACCCCGAGGTCCTGGCTGTCATCGCCATTCCGCACACCTCCGAGCACACCCCGGTCTTCATCAAACTTCCCAGCAACGGGTGCTACATGCTGCCCCTGCCCATCTCTAAGGAGCGTGCGCTGCTGCCTGGCGACATGGGTTGCCGCCTGCTGCCCGGGAGCCAACAGAAGTCTGTCACCGTGGTGACCATCCCCGCCGAACAGCAGCCCCTGCAGGGCGGGGCACCCCAGGAGGCAGTGGAAGAGGAGCAGGACAGGCGGGGCGTGGTGAAAAGCTCCACCTGGTCGGGGGTGTGCACTGTCATCTTGGTGGCCTGCGTCTTGGTCTTCCTTCTCGGCATCGTGCTCCACAATATGTCTTGCATTTCTAAGCGCTTCACGGTGATATCCTGTGGCTGAAAGGGGCTGCGGAAGTCTCTTGTGGGTGCCAACTTAGGGGTTGAGCAGGTTGGTGACGGGATCCCGGTGAGAAGATGGGGGGGGTGACACTGACCGTTGGGTGCTGAGCGCTGGCCTCTGGATTGCCACTTGATTCACCCCCAAGACAGACACAAAGGGCAGGAGGTGAGGTCTCAACGGGATGCCAGGTGAATTGTCCTGAGTGTTGGTGGCAACAGCTTTGGAGATGATTGCATGCATCCTCATAATCATGTACTAAATGGACTGTAATTTATGATTTTTTTCAAAATCATATTATGAGATAGACATATTCTACTTAGACGTTAAACTGTACAAGTGTGTACAATGTGATCTTCTCTAAATGCGGTAGATTTAAACAAAGATGCTATGTATGCAAGTAGAATTAAACCTGCGAATCCGTGTAAAAATTCAATGAAGACATGCAGTGCTTGTTTTTTCCTTTCTTTCTTTCTTTCTCTCTTTTTTAAAAAATAAAACCCAGTCTTCATTTAATTGCTAGAGCTTTTTATACATTTTGAATGGCACCCAAATCAAAATAATTTAAAACGGACAGTTTTTTGGTTTTTTTTTTTTTTTTTTTGGAGAAAATATCTGAACAAGTGTCTCTAATGTGTTGTGTTTGGCCATGTACTTTCATTTTATTCACTTGTAATTAGAACTTGCTACGTGTTTATTAAACTGAAAGCCCAACAGGGAGCAATAAACCAAGAAATAATGAGAAATGCCTACTCCCACAGGAAACCTGTATGCCAATTTTTCTCAAGCCATCTCACAAAATAAGAATTTAAAATGTAAATATTGTGTATTTGTGTGTGTGCGTGCGTGTGTGCGTGTCTAATTTGATTTACCTCAGGTGTTTGAGTCTTTTCAGAAGAATCCTGGGATTAAGACTTCGTGGGCATGAATGAGTCAAGTATCTAAAGCAGTGGCCACTTCACGGACACCGGGACCCAGTGAAGGGTCTCTCACACATCGCCTGCAACACTAGCTCCTCGTCTGTGTATTTAAGTCTTATGTTTTGTAAGATACAAATGAATAGTAGCGGAAGAGTCTGTCTTTTCTCCCAGTTTTGAAGTATTGTAATGGTCGTGATTGTTATTAACTGATGGCAAACCGGGGAGGGCATTTGAATAGATGGTCTGTGATTATTTCTCGAAAGATGCTGTTCTGTGATGCTGTTCTGTGAGGGTTAAACCAGTTAGGATTCCAGTTTCCTCTTGTTGATATCAGCCAGAAAATCTCTTGTATTTCAAAATATGTTTTATTGAGAAAAGTGGCAAGATAGACTAACAACTCATATTCTCAGTGCAAGTGGAACAGTTCCTCATCAACTGTCAAATATTTTTAAATGTGTAGCAGTCCATAGATGCTCATGAAGAAACATGTGCTAGTATTAAGTGATAAATTTCTGTGCCTGGGTATTCAGAAATAGCTGTGAGCTTTAAAGTTCTCATCTAATTTCTTTTGTGCAATTCATGAAGCAACTCATATGTGACAAGGACGCCACTCATAAATATACCTTTTTATGTTCCACTGAATTCCTGAAAATGGCGGGGAGGGTTGGGGAAAGAGAAGAAAGACAAGTAGTGACTAGTTCCAAAAAACAAAACTAGAAAATAGCCCTCTGAGATTGAGACAGTTTAGTTTATTTATACGCTGTTATCTTCAAGCAGTACAAAATATGTATATGAAGGTGGTGCAATTAATGTGAAATAAAACAAAAATATAAGACTAGAATACAAAGCTAAAACTGTTAATTGGCATGAGAATTCAATATAAAATTATGAGCTCTGGTTTTTCAAATTTGCCGTAAGACCTTTAGGAAATGTATTTGAAAGCTCAAACTAGAAATTAGGTTAAACTACCATTTTATTGTGTAAGCTATTGGGCATTATACAACAAATAATCTAGGATTTATTTGGTATTAATAATTTAGGTATCATATTAGCTGAATACTATCCTCTATTATGTAACATAATATACTGTTGGGTTAGTATCAATTTCTCAAACTCTCCCAGGCTGCTGTAATGCATGTCTGACCTAATTTCTATTTCTTTTGGAGAAAAAACAAAAATCAAACAACAAAAACCACAGAAATGTTGCATTATGAAGGCTACATTTCAAATGGACTTTATACCCTTGCAATTTTAAGCTATGCCATATTCAAATTAATTTTGTGAGTGATATCTGCATACAATTATGTACAGTATGAAATGACTGACCCTGTAGTGTAGTACGTTTTAGGGTTCTACCTTTTAAAGTAGGTTATATATAGACACTAATGTGTGTGATGATACAGTATCCTGTGTTTCTTAGTGCAAAACCGTAGAGTTAAAAATGTCTACAGAACTTTTCCTTAAAAACAATCCTGTTCTAGAGGTGCAATTAAGCAGTGCAAAATTTAATCGGCTCTGTGGTAGATTCTTGACCTTACAATTTAACTTAACAGTAATAGCCAAAATGAGAAATTTTTTTGTGCGAGTCTTACTGATATAAGAAGCATTGTTCAAACTATGTAAATGGATTCTGCCTGCAGTTTTTCGTGTACCTACTTGTTATGATGTGCAGTGTGTGTGTGTGTGTGTGTGTGTGTGTGTGTGTGTGTGTGTGTGTGTGTGTGTGTGTTCACGTGCATGCACGTGCGAGGGAGGGAGAGAGAGAGACAGAGAGACAGAGACAGAGACATGTCTCAACCAGCCAGATAGAATTTGTATAGGCTCAATGACATTTTAATGTTATCCGGCACCCCAGTGCTCTGGCCTCTTCTGGCATTTACCAATGACACTAACAAACCATCTACCCATGTGACCGAAGTCTAGCGACACAAGTGGCCAGAATTTATGCTTGCACACCAATGAAAAGTCACAACTGGAAAGCACAGAAAATTGTTAGAGCTGAAAGCAGCCTCTGGTGGCTTCACTTTGTAGATGAATTCATTGAGGACCACAGAGGTGTGTGGCAGCTTGTAATTATGCAGCAGAAGGGGGACAAGAACTTTGCACTGCAGTGTCCTCTTGCTCCTTCCTAAGTGTAGTGACATCTCTGTCTGGCTATGATCCTTTTCAGGGTTGTTGGACACCCTTTACTAACGCCACTATTGCTTTAAAGTATTTTATGTGGGTTTTTGTATTCAGTCTAGTTAGCATCTACCTCTCTGAGAAACAAAAGAAGGGTTAACTTAAGGATGAGTATAGACACTGAAAGACAACTTTCAAACCATGAGGTTTGAATTTTTTAAGATTGTAAAACAGTGGCGTCCACTCCCCCCCCACTTATATATAAAGGATGAGTGTCATGTAAATAGCAAACTATAAGAAGCATGAATTTTCATCTTTATCAATGATCTTGACTTAAGCAAGAGAATGCCTAATATGTTAAGTAGAGCCAAGTATGCCACCCAAAAGCATTGTCTTTGGAAAATTTTAATATAATGACCTGGGGCATATAAGTTGTGATGAAAAAGACAAATTGGTTCTCAGTTTCAGTCATACTTAATGATCAGAAAGCTCTAAGGTATTTTCTTTAAAAATATAATTAAGTTTAATTTTGTGCCTGACTTACAGAGTGGGTCCCTTGAAGATTGAACCATGTGCTGGTATAGTCCGTGGGGTCTTCTAGATCAGCACTATTCAATAGAACTTTCTGTGATGATGGAAATGTTTATAACCTGTGCTGTCCAGTACAGTAGCCACTAGCGACATTGGTTTTTAGGCAGATAGAATAGGGTTAGTATGAAGGAGCAGATAGATTTTTTTTATTCTAGTTCATTGGAAGTGAAATAACACCATGTGACTATTGGCTGCTGTATTGAACAGTGCAGTTCTGGATAGTTGTGCTTCAAGTTATTAATGAGGCTAAGAAGAGAGTTTGTGGATTGGTAACATGCAGTTGGCCAAAGCAAAAAATTTCTTTCCGGGCTTAAAAAGTATGTGATCTCAAGTATGACAGCAAACATTCATTGATTGCCCTTTGGGGTTATTGCTTATATACTTTGGGCCAGGGAATGATCAGTGAAACTTAAAGAGTGCTTTATAAGCCCCTTTTCTGGGATCTTTAGCTGCATGTGAATCTATCGTCCCAAAATAGTAGTTAGACACTAGCTGTAAAACGTTTGACTTGCAAGCTATGCATGACCTGTATTGTGAAATTGTGTCTAGGGTCTTGTAGCCAAAAAGTTAAATGTTACAGAAAAAAAAAAAAAGCCTAATGAAATCCTTTTTCACATCCAGTATCTTAACCTAAACTTCATTGCTGCATTAGTGAGGTGCAAAATACAAGAGCAAGCATGTTTTGCAGTGTTCAGACTGTTTTTGTTTGTTCTTGAAGTCTGCCAGCTTGTCATTGTATTTGGTGTGGGCATATGTGGGCATCATTTTTCAGATGCCAGACTAAAATGTAGGTACTATTTTTAGAGTGAGATTTGATATTGTTTTAATCTCTCTTTTAAAATTTATTTATTACTAAAAGAATTGAAGATTTGAAGCATTGCACAAAGGTACTTTTTTAAATGCTAAAAAAACTTTGCCTATGAAATTTAAAGACTTGAGGATTACTAAAGCTACTAGAATTACTTTTTAAGTGAGTTCAAAGGAAGCAGAAAATTCAGTTTGAGATGTATTTTCATATAATGATCAGATTCTTACTGATAGTCTGGTATTTATTTTATTCTAGATTTTGATCTGTTTCCTTCCCTTTATTTGGAAGCCTATGTTGTGTCAAAATTGGTTAGTCTACTTTTGTTTTCCAAATGGAATGCAAACCAAATGCATCAACTTCAATTTAGCAGAATTAAGTTTATTTGTTTTTTCTAGAACTCATTAATGGGCAAGGATGTTCTTTTTAGCTTGTCTTTTAAAATAATTTTAAAATTTTGGCCAAAATGTTTGTTTTTCTTTAGACTTAAGAGGAAGATAGCAGTACAAATGTTATTTATGTGAGAGGAATGATATGCAAAAGATTTCAATTTCTATCTTCCCTTGGAAAAATGATGCTACCAACCAGTCAGCATTTGTTTCCACACGAGGAGTATCGGTCAGTCAATCTGTCATCTCTGACCTAGATGGAGAGACTGTCCCTTGACATTTCCATCATTCTCAGTAAGTTGTCACCAGCAAGGTAATTCTTACTCGAACAGAAACTCTAGAGAAGAATGAGACAGTCAAGATAATTCACGAACTGTTTTGAGAGTAGTCTATTTCAATAGCAATGATGATCAGTTGCTGGATTTTGTTCAGCCTGAAACACTTCTAAAAGATAAGTGGAAATTCAAGCCATTGATTTTTTTGACACAATTGACTTACTACACACACACACACACACACACACGATTTAGGTATAACTGGAATTTAAAAATGTTGTTAGTCAGTCATGTCTTTCAACTTGTGAGTTATACAAAGTTGAATTAAATTTAGATGTTAATTTCCTAAAATTTGCTATGGTCTGCATACATTATGTCAAACCAACTACTTTTGGAAGTGTCTGTGTAAACCACTTGAGACTTGTCAAACGTATGAAGATGTAGGTTCTACTGTAGACATTATCATGGAAAGCCATGGCCATTGAGGAACATAAGCAGGTGGGGCATTTGATTTCTTCCAAATACCTTTTTTTTTAAACTCTGCTCAAGTGGTCAGGACTAGTGCACCATTATTCCTGAACCCCTGAATTCCTGCAGTTTCCATTTTTCTGCACAAATTTCCCTCAGTCAAGCCAATGACTGGTTTTTTTTTCAGGATTCACTGCCTGGGGTATCTCACTATGTATATCTCACTTATGATATAGTGGTGC